GTATCATTCATTGTTGTGGTGCGCAGGGTGTGTTAAAGAAACCTGCCTTTGGAGGAATCAGAGCAGCAGCAACACAATCATCATTAGAAAAGGAAAGCCTTGGGTTTGGAAAGCAAACAGCTGAGGGTGGAATATCATATCTATATTTTGCAGCCAGCATGTAATGAAAGCAAAATACTGTGGATGCTAAAAATCTGAAACAAACACAGTGAATACTAGTAAACTCAGCAGGTCTGGCAGCATCTGTGGAGAGAGTAACAGAGTTAACATTTTGAATTCAGTATAACTCCTTTTCAGTAACTGAGAGTCAAGACCATCTGCATGACAGTTCTTAAGTGTTCTTCCTCAAGCCCTTTGTCTTACATAGAATAACATTCAGATCATTTCTGGAACTTCTTTATTAATGTCATTTCTGAAAATGCAGATTCTGAAATAGCTTTTAAATCTGCTACTAAGCATAGTGAAAATCCACTGCCAATATTCAACTTTCAGCATTTGATTTTAATATCTTAGTCTGTCATGGACTGAAATATGTCTTAAAAAAAGATGCTGCTGATCTAAAATGGCTACTTGCATCACCTAATAAGCCCAGGATTTGCATTTTGAATATACAGAATTGGTTTGCAACCATTTTTGCCATTTTAATCAAGAGACACTGAAACTTGGGGAAGTGTCAAGAAATTTGCATAACTTGCTTTACTTGGAGATTCAATGTTACTTGCAGAATATACAGTTTGGAAAAGATAATGGAGCTAGATAAGGAAACACTCTATATTTAAATAGCTTGCTTGGAGCAACAAGGAGATAGAAAACAAGATGGGCTGAACAGAGCAAAGATATGGAATGCTCCCCTCTCTGTCTCCATCTCAATCTCAGCAAATCAATATTGGTAAAAAAATCAATGTGGAAGAATTTTCATCGACTGCGAAGTCAAGGATATCTATAATTTTCCCACCCCTGAGGAGCAGGACGACAGCTAAGGAGTTAGGATTCAGGATTTACTCTTGAAACTCAAAGACTCTTAAAAATAAATGTAAACTGCCTTTATCTTCCTGGCTGCTCCCTCACCTTCTTTGTAAATCAATACATCACTGTAATCTCGCCTTTTTGGGTAATATAACCACTCTCTTTCACTGAAGGAAATTTAGGAATCGATTTTTTTTCTGTCATTTTAGATCTCTAATTAAGTTTAATTGAACTGTGATAGTGATGTGTTAAAAAGAAGTAAAAAGATAGTTGTTGAAAGTGACTGAGAGGAAGTGGGGAACAGAAGAGAGGGAAGCTGTGACCTGGTCATAACGCAAAGGAAAATGCCAAATACAATAATAGTGATTAATTTACTGTCAAAAGTAAATGCTTGATTTGTTGTAATAATTACTTTTCCTTAAGTATTACAGAGTTAGAAAATGTCTGTGAAGTTCTACAGTAGATTTGTGAACTGAATAAAGCTGTTGAAAGAATGTTGTTCCTCATGTGAGAATTTGAGCTGCTTATAGATGGTGATATCTGAATACTCACATCTGTAGTTCTCAGACCTACAGCTGACTTACTGGTATTATGCAGCATTGGTTGGAGTGGCATGAATATGAAGAGTTGCTGACTTCCTGAGAGAGGGTTTCTCAGAAGTCAGTAATGAGTCATTTGCATCATAGTTAGGTCACTGCACTAGTAATCTAAAGATTCATTTAGGCTTTTTGCAACATTAAGGATTCAACATTGAATTCACCAACTTCAGTCCATGAGCTCCGAATTTCATTTTGATTACCTCACACCCCACCCTCTAATAGTCTTGTTTGTCTGGGTTTGCGCTCAGCAGTGCTGACCTACTTTTTTCTATTATCCCCTAAAATTAACACTTACTGATCATCTATATCTCATCTCTGATACCATTAGCATGGCCTTTTCCTTTTTCTCTAGACACCCTTACCACCTGTTTCCCTTGCACCTCCTCTTCCCCCATTTGCACAGCATAAAAAGCATAACTTCTCAAGCTATTTTCAGTTCAACAGTAGAGTTATATTAGACTGAAACATAAAAGCTGTTCCTTTTTGCATAGATGCTGCCAGACCTGATGAATTTCTTCAGCACTTTGTTTTATTTCAGATCTTTAGCATCTGCAATACGTTGCTTTTAGTACAAAGTTCTGGGGGGGGGGCATGATTTCAGATGTCACCATGCAACTCTTTGAATTTAAATTCAATTAATGAAATCTGGATTTCGTTAGTGTCAGTTATGGTGTACATAAAATTATCATTCTTTGCCGTAAAAACCTATCTGGTTTGCTAATTCCTTTTTTAAAATTAACCTGTTTTTCTAATCAACCTGCCCAGAGATGATACTACACTCCTCTGGTGCAGCTGGAATTTGAACCTGGGCCTTCTGGTCTAGGGTAGGGACACTACTACTCTGCCACAAGAGAGCCCCTGCTCATATCTTAGGAACAGAAATCTATCATTTTCACCTGGTCCAATCTACATGCAACTTCACACACCACAATGTGATTAACTCTTAGCTGTTCTCGAGGGCAATTAAGGATATGTAACCAGCAGCTATGCCTACATCCCATTAACAAATATAAATAAGACCTCAACGTCCCTTGTATTGTAAAAAGCAGAAATTAGATTAAGAGATGGATCCACCTAGCCTTGCAGGCACAAAGAACTATTTAGATCACTCATCAACAAACAACCGGATTTGTGAACAGTTTGCAGCTCCCCTTGTTGGATTTTTCATGTTTGGCTATTGGAATTTGTAAAGTTACAGATTGTGTCGGTTTGTAAATAGTTGGGAAATTCAGCACTCAAATTAGGGGACATTGTAGTCAGTCTGTCTATTTGGAGGAAGAGGATTGACAGAAGAAGTAGATGGTTGGAAACCTGGGAGTTCTGGAGAGTTGTGCAAAGACATTCCAATCCTGCCTGTGAAATCTGTGGACTTTGAGTTCAGTTTTTTTTTGAGGAGCAATATATCAAGAGGTTGTTCTTCTCTAGAGAAGTCATCATAAACCCATGCATTCTCTTACAGTAATTACAATGCATCGCCTGTAGCAGTCTTGCCTCAGGTTATTTCCAGGCTTTGTTGCGATAGTCTCTTTTCAGTCCATGTCTGAACCAAAAAATCATAAAAGCTTTCTTTGTCAAAGCATTACATTCCCACAGACACCAGCTGTCAGATGGCTTTTTCTATCATGCTGTGATTGACTGTATTCAAGTCATTTGAGGCCAAAGTTCAGAAGAACACCAAGTTTTTGGAAGATTGTAGGGATGGTGGATGTTGGAAACATGGGGAGGAGTGTGGCTGTGGGATGATTTAAATAAAGATGAAACATTTAAATTGTGGGTGTTGATATAACTGACAACTGAAGTAATACAGTGAATGCAGGGTTATTATGTGAAGAGGATTTAGTGCGAGTTAGGGTACAGAGCCCTTAATTTTAAATTAGCTGAATTAGATGGAAAACAAAGGATAGAAAGCAATTGGATCTTTGGTTTGGAGATGGATGAGAATTTTGGCATCAGATAACATGACGGCTTGAGATGGGTGATATTACAGAGGTGGAAGTAGCAGGTCTTTGAGTTGGGGAGGATATACTCACTATTAGAAGGCCCTTCCCGTTAAGCAACTTAATGTTTCCTGTATAGTGCAACTTTTAATTTTATGCAACATATGATTGCTTAAGACAACTTTATGTTAGTAATAATGCTGGTTCATTAAAACACTATGTTAATGGCAAACAGATGGTATATTATGGCAAAGTAAATAGATTTGACTTCACATGTCTGATATATTAATGATTCTTGTAAATCTAACCAACAGCTACTTCCTCATACCATTGATGCCTTCACCTTTGCTGCTTCTGTGCCTGTTGATATTCTTGGCCTCAATGTCTCTTTTCACTTCAAGGAGAATTCTCCTCTTTTCGATTGCTGCAATTGCCTTCAGGAACCATGATTTTCTGTTATGTGAATTTTTCCTCTCAATCTCTCTCAATTTACTGTAAAGTACAAATTGATCCCAGACTTGATTATTGCTCCTATATTTTGGGAAGCTCTTCTAACACCTATCTCACATAATTGTGATAGCAGGAAAACCTGAATGCCCGATAGGTGGTCGGGTTCTCTTCGCTGCAGCTCTAACCCATGACTCATTGCAAGCTCTCTTACCTCCATTTTATTGATACTATATGGTTGGTGCTTCTCTGAAGTTCTCTTTCTCCTAAGCTGCAAATTTATCATCATCCAGGGTTTCCTGCTGCTTGAAAAACGTAACATTGATATCAAGATTTTCACTTCCTTGTCTCTGACTGTATCACATTCTTTCCCAGGATATCTTAACAGTGGTAATAAAAACAGATAATGCTGGAGAAACTCAGCAGGTCTCGCTGCAACTGTGGAGAGGGAAACAGCTACATTTTGAGTTTGATATGACTCTTCTTTGAGACAGTTCCATCTTAGGGTCATATTGGACTCAAAATGAGTCTGTTTCTCCCTCCTCAGATGCTGCCAGAGTTCTCCAGCGCATTATGTTTTTATTTCAGACATCAAGCATCTGCAGTTCTTTGCTTTTACCTTAACTGTGGAATTCCTTCCTTTCCTGGGTCTTTCATTCTTCCTCCAATTTGAAACACAAATTTGCTGTCATCTGCTGTCTACTTAAAATTACATCGTCTGCTCTTTTGAACCTTGATGGTGCTCTGCACAATATAACTTGGCCTTTCATCTTTCTTACCAATAGAAAAATAACATCTAATACAGTCTTGTTCCAAGTTTTTTTGTTTTACTTTCCATTTTGGGCACTAGAATACATGGTTGCCCTTATTTAGCGCAAAGAAGCTAACCAGAGCCAACTTGAAACCTGTGTTTTAATAGCTGTATGTTGCCCATAGGCAAAACGACGAGGAGTATCAGGTTGGGAAAGCAGTCTCAGACAAAGGCCAGCTCCACGTATAATTTTCCAGGCAGGAATTTCCTATCGCCACAAAAAAAAGAAAGAAGATGATAATATGAAACCCAAAAAGGACATGAACAGTTCATTGGTATGTACATAAACTGTATGTAATGTATGTCCATTGAAACAATACTTCTTTGTTAAATCGTTTCTATTATTAATTAAGAATTAATTTGTCCCAAAATAGATATGATATTGATAATTAGTTATAAGGAGAGCAATTACTTTTAGATTATTTCCAGGCAGAATGAAACCTGCAACTAAAATTGAGCCATTAAAAGAGAAACTACTTCTTATAGATACATTTAGATGATGCATATATGGGGCTGGAGATGGTATTGCATAAAATGCATTTTGTTTTCAAAATATATAATGCCATTTTTATTATGTTTAGAACGTTCTGCTTCCTGGTTAAAACAGTGCCTATTCCATGTTGATATTGGTTTTGTCATTTGTCTTGGAGCTCCTGAATCGTGGGAGAACATGGGTTAACAATTAATCAGTTGTAAGACCAGCAACATCTCATTGGGTTCTACAAGGAAGCACCCAGACTAAATTCAGTTTGTTTTCACTTTGGTGTAAAGGAACACCTATCGCTATGGCAGTGACTACATAGAAATTACATTTTATTCAAGGAAAGAATTCACCATTCATGAAGGTTCTGATTCATGCCTTCCCACCTGACTATGTGTTTCATTTAAAAAGTGAAATTTCCCAGAGCCTGTTTCTTAAGATTCGGTACTTGATTGAAGGGCACTGCTTAATCGATCACATTATAGAATCACAAAATTATTAAGGAATTGAAGAGGCCCTTCAGTCCATCGAGTCTGTACTGCCAAAACTACACCAAATTTACACTGTCTAACTTTCCAGCACTAGACCCATATGTTGTGGCATTTCAAGTGCTCATCCAAGTACTTCATAAAGATTAAGGTTACCCCAATCAACTGTCGTGTCAAGCAGTGCATTGCAGACCTCCACCACCACCTGGGTGAAAAAGCTTTTCCTCAGAAAAAGGTTTTCCTCAATCAGTTGTCTTCCAAATTAAAATTATGTTCTCTTTTCATGCCCCTTTAACTAAGGGGAACAGCTGCTTCCTCACCACTTTGACCATGTCCATCACAATTTTATACACCTCAATCAGGTACCCTGTCAGCTTCCCCTGCTCTAAAGAAAACAACCCAAGCTTATCCTGTCTGTCTTCATACCTAAAGCACACCATCCCAGCCAACATGCTTGTACATCACTTCTGCACCCTTTCCAGTGCAATCATATCCTCCCTACAGTATGGTGACCGAAGCTGCACACAGCCCTCCAGCTGTGGCCTAACCAGAGTTCTGTACAGCTCCAACATAACCTCCCCACTCTTATTATCTGTGCCTCAACTGACAAAGCCAAGTATCCTGTGTGCCGCCTTAACTATTGTATTAACCTGTCCTACCATCTTTGACATTTGTGGACAAGTGCTCAAAGATCTCTCTGTTCCTCTGAGCTTCATAGAACATTGAACATAGCGCATAAACAGGCCCTTCGGTCCACTAAGTCTGTGCCGACAATGATGCCATATCCAGCCCAGCACTGGAGAAAGAGGGAGTTTTTCCATTGTGATGTGCTTCATAACTGCACTGGGTCCAGTGGCCTAGTGCATCGAATAATTAAGGGTGTAGGGAGATCTCCAAACTGAATAGTAAGGCAGAGGGCTCTAATGAGGGAAATTTGCAAAGTTAAAAGATAAAACTCAGGCAACAATTCAGCTGGCTATATTTTTAAAGATCTGACATCCAACAGGAAGGGAAAACGCATGCAACCATAAGAATGCACCTGCAAATACTGGGCCAGAGTTGAGAAACACATCAACCATGATCAAATGCTGGAGAAGAGTTGATGGGCTGAATGGTCTAATTCTACTGTTTTATCGTCTTATCCTCAAGTAAGATTGAAGTAGGAAAGAGTTGTAAAAAGACAAAGTGAAAGAATCTTTGTTTGAATGCACACATTTGTTACAAGACCCTACAAATGGATAGCATAAATAAAAGGGGCAAAATCACAAAATTACAGAATCACTGTTATGAGGTAACTAAGGCTGAGAGTTTTCAGGGGTACTTGATATTTTTGAAAGAAAAGAAATAAAAATGAAAAAAAGAAGAGTGTGGGGAATGGTCACTCTGTTACTAAAGGCTGAGATCAGTATAGTATTGAGAAATGAACTGGGCCCAGAAGAAAAAGATGTAGAATCATATTGGGTGGAGACAGCAAGGGAAAGAGCTCATTGACAGAAGTAGTCTATATGTTCTTTAACAGTAACTATGCTAACAGTAGGACAGAGTATAAATAATTTCAAAATTGCTCATTTATCAAAGTGGAATACAAGGATTATTTGAATTTGAAGCTTTTAATTCTGAGAGGCAAAACTATTTTTCTCCAAAACTTTTTCTTAAGGCCATAAGACCATGCCTCCATTTCACAATGTTGGAAATTAGCTCCTTAATAGGACCAGACCTGTATGTGACCCTTTCTCTCCCCAATCCTCACAAAAATGGTTGAGGGGGCGGGAAACTGACATGGGATTTCTGAACATGAGCCCTGTGGCTATCTACGAAGCAGCGTTTGTTTCTAATCCCCTCCAACAAGAGGGAAAATTCTGGCCTCGGAGTCTGTCCTTAAGTCAAATTGAAATCTTCGACCAGGATATCCTCTACCTGAGCTATAGTGAAGCCTTGAAATATGGCTTAATCCACTGGCCTACCAACTTGAATAAACCTGTTTGTGATGCAGTTGAGAAATATCAGTTTTCCCACATACTTCAGTTCATTAAAAATTATTACATGTAATCCAATTTTGGGAAGTTAGCTCACTCCATCCTACAAGAAAACTTACAGTCAGAGATTTCAGAATCTCAACTTTGTATCAGATTCTTCAAAGAATCCTGGCTTTAATTCTAGTCTTATTGGGTCATCTATTATATTAAGTTATCAGAATTACTTGCTATCAAAAATGATGGCTTTTGCTGATAGATTTTCTAGATGCCACATTTGAGATTCAATATAGATACTTTCCTTGGAATTTCCTGATAAATTTTTTTGTCAATGTTCATAGATGGTGGTAGTCAGGTTTGAACAATTACACCAAAACATTTTTTAACTTCGTACTATATGAAATCGGTTGCATTTTTGAACTGTTTCCATCTAAAATGGTTGCAGGTGATATTTGGATGGCTTGTTAGATTGTCGCTAATGTTCCATTTATTTCTTTTGGAGCAGTCAGAAAATATTTAGCAGGTGTCCCTAGTGGAGTTACTTAAGTTTCCTCTGATCTTATAAATTTTTGTTGTCATGGATCTTTTCACTAAATTCGTGACAGTTGAAAGAAAATTTGCAAAACATATCACTGGCATCCCAGTATAAACTAAAGAAGAGTGACTGTTAAAGCCTTGTAGGAAGCAACTCAGAGTTGCTGTTATATTGGTATATTAGAAGCAATTCAGTTAGACCCCTGCAGCATCCTTTTCTGGTAGATTTGCAATTGTTTTCACTTGAACAGCTTATCCAATTCACTTTTGAAAGCCACAATTGTATCCCCTTGCACCACACTCTCCAGGTCCTTGCTGCATCAGAAAAAATTTCCTCCTGCCATAGTCTTTTGCTAATCATCTTAAATTTATATCCTCCAGCTCTCAACTCTTCAATCAATTGGAACAGTTTCACTCTATCCACTCTCTCTACATTCTTCTTGATTTTGACCACATCTGTTAAATCTTTCACCAACATTTTCTGAAGAGATCAACTCTACTTTCTTCAAGTTTTCTACATAACTGAAGTCAATGATCCATTCTCATAAAGCTTTTCTGCACTGTTTCTAAAGGCTTCACATTGTTCCTGAAGTACAGAGTCCAGAATTGGACAGAGTATTCTGTTAAGGCTGAACAATGTTTTTATAAAAGTTTATCATAATTTCCATGTGTTTGTACTCTATGCCACTATTTATATAACCCAGGATTACATAATTCATTTAAACCACTTTGTCAGCCTGCCCTGCCACCTTCAACTATTTTTGCATACAAACCTCCAGGTCACTCTGTTCCTGGATCCTTTTGGAATTGTTTTATTTATATTACCTTCCACATTTTTCCTACCTAAATGCATCACTCACTCTTCCCTTTTGTCTGACATACATCAATTACATTTTCTTGAAATCTATCATTGCTTTCCTCACAGTTCACAGCATTTTCAAATGTTTTGTCCTCTATAAATTTTAAAGTAGTGTCCAGTATGCCCTAGTCTTGGTCGTTTATATATTTTAAGAAAAGCAGTAGACCTCGTACTGACCCTGGGGAAGCTACTGTATACCCTCCTCTCATCTAAAAAACAGTTGTTCACCATAACCCTCTGCTTCCAGTCATTAAGCTAATTCATATCCATATTGCCATGAATTATTTTATTCTATTAGTTTCACCTTTGCTGCCAAAGCCTATTATATTGAAAACTTTCAAATTTATTTTGGAAGATTATATTTAAGACATCAACCACTTTACCCTCATCAACCCTCTCTGTTTCCTCATTAAACAACTCATTAGCATAACATTTTAATGGTACAGGTTTTCCATTTCCTTCTCTTCTCCCAGCTCCCAAGCAGCGTTGAAACCAGAGATCAGCGTCAGCTTCACTGCTGTCTCCTCTTCCAGTGTCGCAGGGACCAGATAGGTGCAGATTCCCTTTCACTCGATTCCACTCTAAAACAACCATTACCTTAAATAAAGCCCATGTCTCCCAGCGGGCTTCCCAACCATGCAACAAGTGGACACTGGTCCATGGCAGGGGAGGAATCAATCCTTCAAAATAAACTATGACTCTAGGACATGGTGACACAGTCACAAAACAGAGTTATGATCAATACAAGGAAATTCTTTACACAGGAATTGCCATATGAACATATGAAAATGTCTTCTGGGCAGGGTAGTGGAAGCTAAACTCTAGAATATTTTAAGAAACAGACAATATTTTGAGAGACAGTCTGGTATCTATGGTTAAACAAACCAAGATGGGTGAAATGACCAATCTTGTGTTGTAACATGTTGCATCTAGAAATAGT